TATTTTTTAAAATAGTTTATTTTTTAATTAGGATATTATTGAAAATTTTAAAATATTTTTTTTTTAACAAAATAGTAATTTTTTTTTTCTTAATTTAGCCTAAAATTAATATTTAGTTATTAAGCATTTAAAAAAGCACGTGCGGCGCGCACTGCCAACACAAGTCTGTCTAATTTTCCTTTTCCCCTTTTAGAATTTTAAATAAAATTGAAGGAAAAGAAAATCGAAATCTGAGAATTCCAACGGGCTAAATTTGTAAGTGGGGACAACAAATTTCTAAGTGAATATTTCTTTGTGATTCAACTCCATTTTTTTTTGAGCCAGTCGGGGGCGTACAGTTCTTCTGCTTTTCCGCGTCGCCTCCCGTCAATCTGTTACGGATTCTCAATTTTATCTGTGTTTAAGGATCGTACACGCTGATAATCGTCAAGAACAAAAACCACAATTTCGCTTGCGTTTCATATTTTCTTCCTGCTTCGGATTTCCTCTTCCAATTTTCAGGTACACTCATTTTCCCCTTCTCGATGGTTTTCGTTGAACGGTCTATTTCCAGTTCATTGCTTTGGTGATTCATCTTTTTGTTGAACTTATATTCGTATTTACACTGCATTTCTGTGATTTTTCTCTCCTTTTGAACCCTCATTTTCCGTTCTTATGTTTTATCTGTATCGTTATCGGTTAATTGCTAGGAATATCGGTTGTCGCTTAGCTTTCGATCCCTAATTCTACGTTTGAATTGCATTCTGCATTCTTATTTCCAGTTGCTTTTTGTTAGTCTTTATATGGTAGAATGGTAGTGTTATTTTGTATTGTTACTGCGAATCTATTGTCCTCCCGGAGTCCTGTTTCTATCGAAATTGTTGGCATTACGGCCTTTTTCCTAAATATTCTCACTACTATTTTACAGGTACGAGTTATATTCATCAGATCCTTGTTTGAGAGCCGCTTACCGGATAGTTTATTAGAATTCAAGAATTTCTTTGTAGAGCCAGGATGTTTAGTTTCATGAAATCCCCCGCGAAAGTTACTAAGCAGAATTCTGTAGACGAATTATCAGGCGGATCTGGCACTAATCCTTTTGATTCAGATTCTGGGCCTGAAGCCAAACAAACTCTTAATGCTGCAAGAAGAACTTCTTCTGAGCCTGTGCTCGTTATACCTAACTCCATTTCCGCCAACGCTTTTGATGATGATGATGATGATGGATTTGTTGGAAAAAGAGGGACTGCAACTTCTGCAGCCTCTAAAGACAGGTACAAAAATGATTTTCGTGACTCAGGAGGACTCGAGAACCAAAGTGTGCAGGAATTGGAGAATTATGCTCTGTATAAAGCAGAGGAGACCACAAAATCTGTTAACAATTGCTTGAAGATTGCTGAGGACATAAGGGAAGATGCTACCAAGACCCTTGACATGTTGCATCAGCAGGGTGAGCAAATTGAGAGGACCCACAGGATGGCTGCTGATATGGATAAAGATTTAAGCAAGGTAAGCTCTTTTCGAGTTTTGATCAGACACCTTGCGGATGTATTTCTATCCTATGTTGTTATTCCTGAAATTATTAGTTGGCTCATGTTGATCTGATATAATTAAAAACAGAATCAGATTATTCAAAACTTTAAAGTTAGCAGTTATGAAATATTTGGCTTGCAAGTTACGATGCGATTAGGTTGTGGATGTCCTACTCTGTAAGTGATGGAAGATGTTCGAGAGCAAAGAACCTTTTTGTTTGCTAGGAATTTGTTAAGCAAGCCAGAAATGATTGAGGTTTTCACTTGCTTTTTCGTTTTTTATGTATGCATTTTTTATGATCCTTTGATTGCTCCTCCATGTGTTGTCAATGGTTTCTTATTCATTATTGTTAATGACAGGGTGAGAAACTTCTGAATAATCTGGGAGGCATGTTCTCAAAGCCATGGAAGCCAAAGAAGACCAAAGAAATTACAGGCCCTCTTATAACAGCAGGTTATATTTTCACTGGTTCTTGTAACTTACTGCCTCTTCCATTTTATCTGGCTATTAATTATGTCGGCTGTTCAGATCATTCCTCTGGGCGAACTGAAAACAACAAGGAGCAAAGGGAAAAACTCGGTGTATCTACGGGCAAAAAACAGTCGGCGACTAAAACACCACCCTCTGAACCAACAGGTGCAATACAAAAAGTTGAGGTGAGAGCGTCGGCCGTTATCATTTCACTATCTTAAAGAGTATAACATTATCATGGATTCAAATTTAACCAATATCTAAGAATGTTAACTCAGGCTCAGAAGGAAATGCAAGATGATGCACTCTCAGATTTAAGTAATATCTTGGGTGATCTGAAGAGTATGGCTGTGGACATGGGAAGCGAGCTTGACAGGTCATACATGTCTACCTCTTTTCTCAATCTAGATATTGTTGTATTATAACTCATCAATCTGTTGGCTTATTACATAGTTCTGAATGGTTACTACTCTCTGGAAAATGCAGGCAAAACAAAGCTCTTGATCATCTAAGCGACGATGTCGACGAGCTGAATTCTAGAGTGAAGGGTGCCAATCAGCGGGCTCGTCATTTGGTTGGGAAGTAAATCCTGCCTCTTCCTTCTGTTTGTTTCTAGCTGGAAGCATTTCGATCAAGCATTCTTTAATTGTTGGTATACTATTATTTTCTCATGTGGTTTTATAAGGTTGCAATAAGTACACAACTTTGATTCTATTCTTTCAATGAAAAAGCTTATCCCTTCATCTTGATGTAGATAGATACTAGGAGCTGAACATTAGCTGCTAACGTTTTCTTGACTAAGCTAATGGAAGATAAAGCCAGTTCAAAAGAGAAAAGGGAAGAAGTAAAAGAAACTCAATTGGGGCTTTTACATACATAGATTTCCACAGATTCTAGCAAAATTACATTAACTCCATAAACAGTAAACTAGAAATGAAAGTTCCATAGTGCCCCTCCCAATGAAGGAAACCTCATGAATCCTGCTCTGTTGACATTTTGTACCTTATGCCTCCAAAATTAATGAGACTCATGGGTTTCTTTTGAATCTCGCCTCCGAACCCCGACACCTATGACCAAATTCTTTTTTAAGTGTATAAAAAATCCAAATCTTAAAGTAAATACCTTGCCATTTCCATGCTTGTTTTTGCCAGTTTTCACATCAAAATGAACTCCAACGTTCGCCTCCTCTCAATGCTCGAACTTTTAAGCCACCAAAACTCGAACGCTTCGACGCAAAAACAAGAATGGAAATAGCAACAATAACCTGAAACAAGAAAGAAAAACAAGACAAGATGACATTGGACAAAACTTGTCAACTAATTAGCGTAGCCTTCTTCTGCCTTTGGTCATGCACGAAGATTAAATATTCTTCTTGATCCTTAACTGTAATAGGACTCAAGAAAAAAAAGGGACGTGCATGATATACTACTGGAATAATAGCAAGAAAACTGAGAAGGGAAAGGGATAAAATGGCTGTGTTCTGCTAAAAAAAAGATTCTTTTTGCTCGTTCTGTGCTTTCTTTTTCTCTTGTTCAGTTGTGAAGAGGGTTTGGCCCCGAGGGCACGAGTCTCTTCTCGACGCCATATCGGGGGTCAATCTCATTGTGTGTCAGCATCGGCGGGACATGAACAGGTAGGTGGTGTTGGTAAACTCTATAAAGGTGAATACACAAAGAACGTGAGTTTTCCTGGGTTAGAGCATCACAAGGATGAAGCTGCTGCAGTTCACGGTGAGGCAGTGGGTGGCTAGAGGTGGTCGGAGAAGCGTCTGGCACATGGGTGGAAGGTGGATAACCGGAGAGTCTGGTGGCAGATGAGTTGACAAAGACGAGTAGAAGCATCGATATCATCATGAAGAGCTGGGCATTGGTGACAGAAGACGATGTACAGGGGGGAGAGAGGGAGGCTTTCATTGTCGAGTTCTGATAGAGAGAGAGAAGGGCGGGGAAGAAAGGAGATAAAAGAGAGGAGATGGTGATAGGGAAAGGGAAGAAGCTTAAATGCAGAGCGAGAGACTCATGAGGGAGGATTTATTATTATGGCCTTCGGCTGAGGGGCCTCCTCCATTGGCCAAGGGTATAGTTGCCAATCACTTTCACTCTTCATTAGAGAGCTTTTGCTTTCATGCAACTAAACAATCATCGTTTGATCATTTCATCTACACTTCAACGGTTCAGATCGTCTTTATTTTTCCAATATTTCCATGCAAATATTCCCTCATTTTATTCACGAATGCAAATTTGGAACAATAGTTTTTTTTCTTGGCTCGACATCTCTTGAATTCTCAAATAATCGACACATGGGTCAGTTTCCAATGAATATGTTCGAGCAACTCAAAATGGCCGATGTGTCTCGAGATCTAAGACGGATCACGATGCATGGGTCATGTTGTTGGAAAATGAGATGACAATAAGATGCGATATTGTTGTGTCACAACGATTGAACATACATATACGGATAGGGTGTTCAATGGTCTGACGAAGCCACAAAGTTGGGCAAAAAATATGAATGGAACTTCAGTTTCCCTTAAGATTGGTTGTGAGCGTGTCAAGATTATGACGTGAACGGTTGAAAAAGTAGGATGGTGATAATTATTTTACGGTGATTTTACTAAAAACTCTAAACTTCAAAAAAATATTAAATATTTTTACCATTATGGTTATAACATTTAACATTTGTCATGACAATTTGGTGACTTGCATTTATTAAATAAATGAAGTCAATAACATAATTACAATATTTTCGACCGTTTTAACAATTTTTTAATTCATATGTGAAAAAATATTGAATGTTCTAATTTTATTAAGTTATTTATATAATCATTGGTAAATTAAATTTTATTAATTCGTGTTTAATATTTCATTTAATTTTTAATTATATATGTGATAGAACTATTTATTAGTAAAATTAAATATGAAACGATAAGTATTGTACGGTGCTATATTTGGGTTGAATTTATCTTTCATTTATGATTTATATCTTAAATAATGAATAATAATCAATAAGGTTGAAGTTAAGCCACCGACGAGTAGCGACTTTTCCGCGTGTGCTGAACGAGCCAAATCGAGAGGGAGTTCGTAGTGAAGAGAAAACTGGAGTTTTGTTTCTGCTTGAAGCGCGCAAATTCTGAAAATTGTTTCTTCGCTTAGATCTGTCGAATCGAAATCGATTTCTTTTCCGCATTTTTGAATTTCATTAACTTCTCGAAGTTAAGGAACTCACAGATCTGAAGGAATGGCGCGGCGATTGTCACTGCCCGCGTTTTGTGTATTCATTATTTGCTTCTCTCTGCTGAACGATCCTGTTTTCTGTAAAACCCTTAAACGAGATGGTATTTACAGCGTCGTCACTTTTGGCTTCTCTTGCTTCTGTCTAAATCTCGCTGTGATTTGCGTTTAATGGACTGAATAATTTGTATTTTGCAGTTAAAGCATTGAATGAGATAAAGGCTTCTCTTGGTTGGAGAGTGGTGTATTCTTGGGTTGGAGATGATCCGTGTGGCGATGGTGATCTGCCGCCTTGGTCTGGTGTCACTTGTTCTACTCAAGGAGATTATCGAGTGGTTACTAAATTGTATGATTAGATTTCATCTCAAGCCTTTTTTTTCTTCTCTTTTGTTCGTTTAGTTTATTGAATTGATAATAACTATTTGCAATTGGCCTTGTTGTTCTTGTTTGATTCTTATCTGTATGATGCGTTAAACTGGGGTTACTTATCTGCTACTGTAGGGAAGTTTATGCGGTTTCCATCGTCGGTCCTTTTCCCACTGCTGTAACCAATCTCTTGGATCTTACTAGGCTGTAAGTGTTTCTTTCATTTAATGTATTAAAAAATTTTGTTTATCCAATACCAAATCATTGAATGAAGCAATTGTAACAGAAGGGAAAAACATGGATTTTCTCCGTTCAGATTTTTCTATTATCTCTGCCTGTTTATCGTGTCATAACTTTTGATTGACTCCATAATGATGGATTTTACTTTCTTTTATCTCAAAACTCTTGTTCCTTATGTTAGACAGAAAGTAGTTTTAATCACTTCAATCAATGAAGGTTTAAATGTTTTCTTATTGCAGGGATTTTCATAACAACAAGCTGACTGGTCCAATTCCTCCTCAAATTGGACGGTTGAAGCGTCTTCAGATACTGTAAGTTCCTTGTCCTACTCTTTCAGAGATGTGATGTTCATTCGGACCCTGATTTATTTATGCATTCGGCTTATTGACTTGACTTGGAACTATACTGGCTCATCTAGTTTAACAAGGAAAGAGAATTTGAGTGCCACCCACACTTTTGGGTGTTAATTTACATATTCTGATCTAGGATTCCTTTCATGTTTGCTAAAAATTTATAGCTTTTGGTTTCCTTTTTGACTCCCATTTGTTACTGATTTTTTTTGTTCCCCACTTAGTAACTTGAGATGGAATAAGCTGCAAGATGTTATACCTCCTGAAATTGGTGAACTCAAGAGCTTAACTCATTTGTAAGTAATGCTTGTTCTTGCCATTGATCTATCCTTTTCTTTTGGTTTAGTGGTTATTATTTTTCGTTCTTTTGGCTCTTTGCTAATTTATGTGTGGCTAAATTGGTTGCTGAAAAAATTTCTGTAGATATTTGAGCTTCAATAATTTCAAGGGAGAAATTCCAAGGGAGCTTGCTAGTCTTCCAGAGCTTCGCTATCTACACCTACAAGAAAACCGTTTCATTGGACGAATTCCTCCTGAATTGGGCACCCTGCAACATCTTCGCCACTTGTAAATTTCACTTACTTTACTGTTGACAGATCTCATATTTCAATTCTATTACCGTTCATCAGTCTAACTCTGATTCTGCTATTGGTAGGGATGTTGGTAAGAATCACTTGGTTGGTACCATTAGGGAACTCATACGTATTGATGGCTGCTTCCCATCTCTTCGCAACTTGTACGTAGTCTATGCAAATTTTTGAATTGCACCCTAGTTTTATTTTCCTTCTTTCCCATTGGAAATTATTGAAATTTTGACTAACTAAATATAATGGTATGTAGGTATCTTAATGATAATTATTTTACTGGAGGAGTTCCAGCTCAACTTGCAAACTTGACAAACTTGGAAATCTTGTAAGTTTCTCTTTTATTCTTTGGGATTTTGAAGACTGATAATGTTCATGTTATAGGATCATATTCTTTGTTCTCTCCATTTTTTTTTTTTTTTTGTAATGAAGTTGATGGAAGTGATTTTTTTTTTTTCCTTTTCGGGTCAGGTATCTATCACACAACAAGATGTCCGGAATAATTCCCGCTGAATTAGCACGCATTCCAAGACTGACTTATTTGTAAGTACTTAAATCCCTGACTCCCATTGCTTCCCTCCAAAATAGAAAAAGAAACAGATCTTCAAAGTTGCTACTGCTTTTCTTCCTGCCTAAACTATAAGAACGTCTTTTCATGCTCTCAATATGAAAATATTTGTTGCTCGACATTCCTTAGCTAAAGCACAATTCACCTGATATCATATTTTTGAAGTCTGTCTTAGTAATTCGGTTCCATGTCTTATCATATTTCACGCTGCCTTTGTTGAGGATTGTTGGGAGGGAGTCCCACATTGGCTAATTTAGGGAATGATCATGAGTTTACAAGTGAGGAATACATTTCCATTGGTATGAGGCCTTTTGGAGAAGCCCAATGAGAGCTTAGGCTCAAAGTGGACAATATCATACCATTGTAGAGATTCGTGATTCCTAACCGTCTTGGTCTTGCCTTCCTACAATTTATATGAATGCCGATGGGCAAACTTTTCATTATCCTGACAACTCCATTGCTTGATAAGATATTATTCCTAGTAAAGGAAATTTTGTTGATTCACAGGTTCTTGGACTACAATCAATTTAGTGGAAGAATTTCAGATGGCTTCTACAAACATCCATTGTTAAAAGAGATGTGAGTTATTTCTTCTCTCTTTCTTGTAATTTTTGCTGCCATTTTCATTTGGATTTCTAAATATGGTTGACAGGTTCATCGAGGGTAATGCTTTTCGCCAAGGTGTTAAGCCAATAGGCTTTCACAAAGTTCTTGAAGTTTCAGACGCAGATTTCCTTGTTTAAACCACGCTTGTCCTTCTTTATTCAAGTTGAAGCTTCATTTTTATGTTTAACCCAAAGGGTTATTCCTATTCTTGGAATTATGAAGAACAAAAGAATGTGAGACCGTAGCTTCATAGTTTTCATATCTTTGAGATGAAATGACAATTTTGTTAGGTGTTAAATTATTGTTTTAATCCCAAAATTATGAATATATGAATATATGAACAAGCCTCTGGCATTGCATTAAAAAAGAAAACGTCCAAGGGATTAATATTGTTCATTCTTTGCCCATAGAACAACAACAACGAAGCAGACTTACAAGATACATTTTCTAGTAAAATAATCTTTCATTAAATGTAGGTTAATTGTAACACCATTTGATTTTAAATTTTTAGTACTTAATTAATTGCAACATTATATTTTATTTTCTAAAATTATTAGTACATTCAAAATGGCGGGTGTAGACATGATTTTTGGTGAGCGGACATTTCGATAATCTATTTTGCTTAATAAAAAATATCTTAGATAATCTATTTTGCTTAATAAAAAATATCTTAGATAATCTATTTTGCTTAATAAAAAATAACTCTGGAAAAAATCAAGTATATCCCTGTAACTAATTTATAGGTAAATTGAAATTATTATTTTCTTTATAAAAAAAGCTATCAATTCTAAATATTAATTCTAACAAATTTGACGATCTAAAAATAGCAAATTTTTTGAAATCACATGAATTCAAAATTGTGATGTGATGTAATAGTCTGTTACAATCGTATCTTTTTCTTCTCTATAAATAGAGCTCACTAATTAGCTCATCCCACTGACAAAAGCTTCTACACAACAATGGCGTCCAAAGCTTTCCTCTTCGCTCTCATTTGCTTCATTTCCTTCTCCTCTTCTATCTTAGCAGAATTTGTTAAAGTTTCGGTGAAAGGAGTGACCACCATTGCTGAAACCGACAATGATTTCATCTGTGCTACTCTGGATTGGTGGCCTTCTGATAAATGTGATTACGGCCAATGCCCCTGGGGAAAAGCTGGCCTTCTCAATTTGGTATACTTTTCTTCTCCATCATCTCATTGTTCTTCATGTCTTCTAACTGATCATGGAAGCTGCTCTGTTTTCCTCCACAGGATCTGCAGAACATTATCTTGTCTAAAGCAATCAAGGGTTAGTAGTTTTCTGTTCCTGATTTTCATGTTTGGTTCTTTGATAACATTCGTGGGATTCGCTTATTTTTGTCTAATTTTTCAGAGTTCAATCCTCTGAGAATCCGAGTTGGAGGGTCACTTCAAGATCAAATCATTTACAGAGTTGGGAACTCAGTCAAAAAGTGCCCTCAGATGAAGAAACAAGACGATGGATTGTTCGGATTCAGCAAAGGTTGTTTCCCCATGGAAAGATGGGACGAACTTAGCGACATGTTCAACAAAACCTCGTAAGTAATCAACCAAAAAAACATCATTAAAAAACAGAGTAAAAACAGAGTAAAAATCGATGCTTTTTTTGTTGCAGGGCTCGGATTACGTTTGGTTTGAACGCTCTAATCGGTAAAAAGCCATCCAACGATGGAAAAGGCACATGGGTTGGTGATTGGGATCCACGTAATGCTCGAGATTTCATTCGATACACTGCCTCTAAAGGCTACCAAATCGATTCTTATGAACTGGGTAATGCCCAAAATCTTGCCTTTTTTCCAATTTTGAAGAGAAAATCCTTCTATTTTTACAGAGTTTTGGGTTTGAAATGAACAGGAAATGAGCTTTCTGGTAGTGGGGTTTCTGCAAGGCTCGAGGCTGATCAATACGCCAAGGATCTTACTCTCATGAGACAGGTAGTGGAAGAAGTTTATCCTGATGCCAACAACAGACCCAAAATCCTGGGCCCTGCTGGGTTCTTTGACAGAGAATGGTTCAAGACCTTCCTTCAAAACACTGAACCGAACGCTGTTGATGGAGTCACCCACCATATTTACAATCTTGGTCCAGGTATATGGCACTCCATTAATGGCGGATTTGATGTTCTTAACCATGATCTGAAAAGTTCGTGCATGATATTTTGTATGCAGGGGTTGATCCTGAGCTTATCTATAAGGTTCGAGACCCTTATGTTTTGGATCAAATTGCTCAAACTTTCAAGGAAGCTGCGGACGTTTCAGCCAGCTTTGGGCCGTGGTCTAAGCCTTGGATTGGTGAATCTGGTGGCGCTTACAACAGTGGTGGCAGAACTGTTTCTCATACCTTTGCTGATGGCTTTTGGTTGGTGAATCTGGTTTAATTGGGGATTAATGAACGAATTATCCACTAATTAGTTTATTGTTTGATTGATTAAGGTACTTGGATCAATTGGGGATGACGGCCACATTCAATCATCATGTTTATTGTAGGCAAGCTTTGATCGGTGGAAACTATGGTCTGCTTAATACCACTTCGTTCATCCCTAACCCAGATTATTACAGGTAAATTTTGATTGACATATGCCCTTAATTAAGGGTTTAATCATGGGTTACCCATACATCTCTATCGGTATAAAGTCTTTTAAAAACGAGTATAACCATGCCACTTAACTCATATCAATGGAACCCTCAAGTGTGAACTTTAGTCAAAAGGAACAAAATGTGTACTTTGAGCTCTAGAGAAGGAATTGAGCCTCTAAGTCTAGGGAGAGAGGTTTTATGATGTACTACTTCGTTCAAGGGGAGAATTGTATTGGAAGAGAGTCCTACCTCGATTAGTTTTAAGGGGTTGATCACATTTCCATTGATACGAACCATTTAACCATAATTAGTAATATTATACCACTGGATGGCATATTAACATTTTGGTTGGCTGGAAACAGCGCACTTCTATGGCACAGACTAATGGGAACGAAGGTCCTGTCGGCGTCCCACGACAGCTCTCCATATCTTCGTGTCTATTCTCACTGCACCAAGAACAATGTAATTTCTAACTTTTTATATTTAAAAAATATTTTTTTTTAAAAAAAAAACATTATTATTATTATTATGTTTACAGAACGGCGTAACAGTGCTTCTAATTAACATGTCGAACTCGACGAGCTATGATGTGAAGATTGTGAGCGAAAGAAGGCTTTATCCCAACGCCATGGGCGGGCGATTACAGGCAAGAGAAGAGTACCATTTGAGTCCCAAAGACGGCGATATTCAAAGCGACGTGATGCTCCTGAACGGAGCTCCTCTGCAGCTGACACCCAAGTTGGACATTCCCGGCATGTCGCCCAAGCTCGTGGATCCCACTTCTGCGGTGTCAGTTGCCCCTAATTCCTACGTCTTTGTCACCATTAAAGACTTCAAAGCAGCTGCTTGCGCCTGAGTTTCTTGCTTTTTAGATAGGTTTTAGAATTAGCGTTTCAGAATAGGAGATTTTAGCTGTTCATTTCTTTGTGGGTTTTCTTGTTGCGTAGTTAATGGTAGATTGGTTTCTAATACGCTTCTTCTTCTTCTTCTTCTTCTTCCGTTCTTGGTTGCTTTTCCAGAGCTATTAAATGCTAAATCCAAACGAAAAGAAACTGAATCAGGGGTTCTTTCAGATCACTTTAGGAATTTTTTGAAGAAATTTTCAAAGATCCGAACCCATTAATTGGATGTAAAGCATAATTTAAAACGTCCTCTACTACGCCGACTATAATTTCCGGTTTCCTCGGACACAAGAAATCAATTTTCAGGGCTAATTTGCTCAAACAGATTGGGTATTTATTGAATCCTTTTAGGTTCAAGAATATAATAACTAGCCTGTTTCTCTCTCTCTAACTAGTGGTTTCAGGTTGGAGTATCCCGGACTCGGACACGACAGACGGACATACTTGCCTCCTCAATCTTTCATAGGTAAAATTTGTAACTAACCCGTAGATATGGTCTATTAATGAATTTTTTTTTTTGTTTCTTTTAAAAAGCACGGACAGATATCTATGCTTTTATTTATCGAAACTTTTTTACTGTTCTTTCTTACGACTGTTCTATTGATGACGTGGAATCTCACGAGAACGAACTTCCTTACGTGGGATCTCACGACTCTTTTCAACTGATGACGTGGGATCTCACGACTCTTTTTAACTGATGACGTGGGATCTCACGAGAACAAACTTTCTTACGTGGGATCTCACGAGAACGAACTTCCTTACGTGGGATCTCACGACTCTTTTCAACTGATGACGTGGGATCTCACGAGAATGAACTTTCTTACGTGGGATCTCACGAGAACGAACTTTCTTACGTAGAGGGATCTCACGAGAACGAACTTTCTTACGTGGAGGGATCTCTCGAAAATGAACTTTCTTACGTGGAGGGATCTCTCGAAAATGAACTTTCTTACGTGGAGGGATCTCTCGAAAATGAATTTTCTAAAATAAAGGACTAACATTATTAGAGTTTAAAAGTTAGAAATTTAGACAAGAAAACGGCGTGGTTCTGAAAATGTTTATGGTTTGTGCAGGACTGGTTGGGAAGGCAATTCTCGCGGCAAATGAGTCGAGGGAATGAATTCCCCGACGACGGAATAGAGGGTGTAACCGCCGTCGCAGCCGCCGCCTTTGCCATTCTTTCTGTTGAAGAATCAAGACCCACAAAGAATGTCGATAATCCTGAAACGTCGTCGTTCCAGAAGACAAAGAACGTCAAGGAGGACAATCGTACACACCCTCCACGTCCGGCGCCGGAACATGATAAGATTCCCCAGCCGTTCTCAGGTTTCTTAAATTTTCAATATAATTTTAACCCACATGGTTTACAATTCTGACATAAAAATATGGTTTTTAGCAAAATTTGGATTTGAATGTAATGATTGAGATATATGGTGGCAGTAAACTCCGAGCAACAAAAACAGAGACCAATAGAAAAGACAACCGATCCTCCTCCAGCCGCCGTCAACCACATCTCCGGCGGCGGAAGAACAAAACCAGAGACAGAAGTAGAAGTCCCTGGAAAGCCACAAACCTGGCCTTCTGAAACGAAAGCAGATCTGTGGGAAAAGGCAGAGATGGGTAAAATCCAAGAAAGGTACTCTGTTCTTCTCCATTGCCAATCATATCTTAACGAACAATACCCATTACTAAAACTGGAGAAAATTTCAGATACCAGAAGGTGGACGAAAGAATTTGTTACTGGGAAAGCAAGAAGAAGGACAAAGCCATGCGCAAATTTGAAGCATCGCAGGTTCATGAACAGTTTATCTGTGTTTAATGTTTGTTAGAACAATTGAGACAGAGGCGATATTGATGAACAGTGATTGACTCTGTTTTAAACATTTGAAGGCTGAGGGAATGAAGAAGAGTAAGAGGATAAAGGGAAGAAGAAAGCTGGAGGAAGACATGGAGTTCATAAAGAAAATAGGAGGAGAAGCAAGAACCAAAGCAGAGCGGCAGAAGAAGAAGGAGATTCTGAAGGCTAAGCAGAGAGCAGATATTATCAGGCAGACAGGGAAGCTTCCCCTTGCTTGCAGCTGCTGCTGATGATGAACACTCATAGCTTTGTTGATCTTCTCTTATTTTGTACACATAACAGAATGAACAAAGATATTCTTATAATCCAAGTTTCTGTCAGATGGGTTCTCTGTTTTAATCTGTTTTTAGGAAAATTGTTGAAGCTGATCTCAAAATTAAAGATTATGTTTTTTTTAAGTGTTGTGTGTGTGTGTGTGTGTGTGTGTGTGTGTGTGTGTGTGTGTGTGTGTGTGTGGTAGGTAGGAGAAGCGGCTCTCTATAGCGCTGGGCCGCAGCGCCCCTGTAGCCTTCCTACTCTTGATGCCGTCCATTAATCACTCCCATTCAAGATTCACGCTCCTTTACTCCTTACTATATAACCCTTTCTACTACTACCCTTCATTCAACTTCCAGAAATGTCAACTTCCGATCAGCCCTCCGGCGACCTCACCCATGTTGCTCTGTTCCCAAGTGCTGGCATGGGCCATCTTGTTCCCTTTCTCAGACTGGCTGCCGCTCTCCTCCGTCATCACTGCAAGCTTACCCTCATCACTTCTCATCCTGCCGTCTCTTCTGCTGAGTCGCAACTCATTTCCCGATTCCTCTCTGCTTTCCCCCAAATCACTGAGCTCAAGTTCCATATCGTACCTCTTGACCCTCTTGTCGCGAACTCCGATGACCCTTTTTTTCTTCAATTTGAAGCCATTCGTCGATCGGTTCATCTTATCACTTCTCCCCTTTCTGCCCTCTGTCCGCCTCTGTCCGCCCTTGTCTGTGATGTGAGCTTGATTTCCTCTGCTCTTGTGCTTTCTGCGACCCTTAAGATACCCAATTACGTGCTCTTCACCTCCTCTGCTATAATGTTTTCTCTCTTTGCCTATTACCCGTTTGTTAAAATGTCTGACCCATCTGGCGATTTGATTCACATTCCTGCGATTGGGTCAATTCCCAAAACATCGCTCCCTCCTCCCCTGCTCGTCGATAATAGCATCTTCAAGAAAATTTTTACGCAAGATGGTCGGAGGATCAAAGAACTGAATGGGGTTTTGATCAATGCGATGGACGCAATGGAAGGAGATACCCTGAATGCACTCAACAGTGGGAAGGTAGTGGATGGATTGCCGCCAGTGGTACCCATAGGACCATTGCTGCCATGTGAGTTTGAGAATCCAGAGGGGAAGTCTCCCATAAAATGGCTGGAGAAGTTACCTCCCAGATCGGTGGTTTTCGCGAGCTTCGGCAGCCGGACCGCCGCTTCGAGAGAGCAAATCAAAGAGATCGGAATTGGGTTGGCTTCAAGTGGGTACAAATTCCTGTGGATAGTGAAAGATAAGGTAGTGGACAAGGAAGACAGAGAGGGGGTAGAGGGGGTAGTGGGGGAAGAACTGATGGAGAAATTGAAGGAGAAGGGGATGGTATTGAAGGAATGGGTAAATCAGGAGGAAATTTTGGGGCACAGAGCGGTGGGTGGGTTTGTGAGCCATTGTGGGTGGAACTCGGTGATAGAAGCGGCGTTGAAGGGGGTGCCAGTTTTGGCGTGGCCTCAAAACGGGGACCAGATGATCAATGCAGGATTGGTTGCAGAGAAAGGGGTTGGAATGTGGGTTGAAAAATGGGGTTGGGGCCATAAATGTGTGGTGAAGGGCGAGGAACTTGGTGGGAGGATTAAAGAGCTGATGGAGAGTGATGGTTTGAGAGCACGAGCTGCAGAGGTTAAAGAGGAGGCAGCGAAGGCTGTGGCTGTCGGAGGAAGCTGTGACAGAGCATTTGAATGGCTGATTGGAAGGTGGAGCAAGGGCATCTGAAGAAGGGCTGTTCAAAGGTTGTTTAGGATTAAGATATAGAATAAGATATCAATATCTTATTTGTGAAGTTGAATGAACGATAAATTATGAATAATATAAGACGGGGTTATTACAAGGCCCATTATGTGATGGATCTAAATCCAAATTGGTCCGAAACTCTGATTAGATAGGGAAATCGGATCGAAGTTTTCTTTATTAGGGTGTGAAACCTCTTTCTAGAGCGCGTGTTTTAAAACTTTTAAGGAAAGTCAAAGTGTTAATAGTGGGTTATTACCCAATGGTTTAAAGGAGAAAAACAAAAGATGACAGATGCATTTGTAGCGTCGTATGCTACTCGTTGTCGGCACATATAGAGGGCAAGCGATGGAGGACCTTAGTCTCATCCCTCATCGAGTCCACACGAGGATAGAGCAGGGGTGAGAGTTAATTTAAGGGAGCTTACCGGTTGAGGAAGCAAGAAGGAGCTCGGGTTGTCGAAGGGAGAAGTCGTCGAAGATTTGAGACCAAAACCCACTCTCGCTAGAGGAACTCACGCTCTATAGTCACAGGCGTTTGACGATCGGTTTTGAACTGAAACAAACCAAAACGGGAAATCGGATGCCGAAAGAACATCAAGGTATGCTCATGGATTTTCGAGAGCTTTTACAGCCATATTCACCCCTACATTCGTGGTTTAACCTTATAAATTCACGAGAGGACAATCTATATCTTTATCGCATAAAGCAACCAGAATTACGACCGGTTGAACGAGAAATGAATATGAGAAGATTTGAGTTACAAATGGTATCAGAGTCAGACACAGGGGTATGCTAGCGAAAAAAGTTTAAAACACTAAAATAAGCGAAAATTCAATAAATCTCAAAGATGTGGAAAATGTGATAATTTAAGCATTATAAAAGAAAATTATAAAAAAAAACATATTAAAAGAATAAATGGAAAAGGAGAGAACACGTGACATAAGCGGTGTGGACAGCGAGTGAGTGAGAGAATGAGAAATGGAAGATATGATTGGACGACAACTTTGAAACAGAAAAGAGATTATGGGACCCACTCATTATTAATAATAAGGAAACTGTCTGTGTACCGACCGAATCGACTTGGACACCGACATGCTTCCCCATCCCCATCCCCATCCCCATCCCCATCCCCGCGCGTGTGCCTCACTTTCCCATTTTTCCAACTATAAAACTGTAACCAACTTGCAATTGAAGTATCAGAAAAGAATAATAATAGTTCATATGGAGATCATAACAGAATGAATAATAGCTCACAGGTTTAGGGAACGAACTCTGGTGGGGACAAATCATGCAACATTATTTATGAATAATAATAATACAGAATTGGCAGAGACGCGCACACAACCCAAATCTTCTGCTGCTATCAAATGTACAAAAAAGAGAAACAGGAGGAGGGCTGTGTGCTCCATGGACCTTAAATCTCAACCTATAGAGCCATACAAATATAACTTCCCAGCTTGCTTCCTCAGTTAATAAATCAAAGCCTCCTACCATTCATTAATTTAAAGGGACAGGCGGAGCGTTCCAGCCGGGCATCTCTGTCGACGGGGCCGTCTAGTTGTCTTGCCCCAACCACTCAGGCTTCCATCCTCCAGAACCATTTCAATGCTACTTAGTTGCTGTATCAGCTGATTACATTCTGAATGCACAGCTGGTGGGGGACTGATTGCTGATCGTCGTCTTCCTCTACCGCAACCGTTTCTAGTAGAGTTCCTCCTCGTCACTCCCGAATGCCAGGAGTGGCCTGTTGCTCGCATTAGGCCACCAAACGTCTGAAGATCTTCTGTAACCTCATGCCTTGATAGAGAAGAAAGGCCTGGAAGGATATCCTTCTGGAAGTCCCTTCGCTGCCTACCTCTCCTCGTCTGGCCCTTTCGGGATCGATTTTGCAACAAATTGGTTCCAGATTCTTCAATTTCCATATTTTCTGGAACCAAGGGCTTCGGCATGTAGTCTTCTTCACCGACCTCCGCCAGCCTCAAAGTCATGTATTCGAAGTAATCAGTCCCTCTCAAAGAGGATTCACCATTATCCTTGCCTTCTTTGTCTCTAAATACAGTGTCAGACTTGGTGTGCTTATCATCTCCGTGTGTAGAAACTACCTCGGCAAACCAATTTAGGGGGTCGCTCGAAGAATCTTCCAACGCGTTGCTAACAGTATCATCCAAATGACAGGAATGACCACAAGAAGAGATGACAACTATTGCTTCTGCTGCTACAGCCATAAGATCATCCTGTATGTCCACAGCCTTATGCTGAGGAGATTGTGATCGCCGTTCGTGATGTTTTTCTACAGATTCTTCCTCTGCAATTATGTCGTCTTCAGTCTCGGGCAGTGCCGGGGCTTCTAAATCTATCTCTACCGTGACCTTTTCCTTGGCACTTGAAGAAACCAAGGGTAGAGGTCTCATAGAAGCTTCTTCATCACTGACACATGAGTTCAAATCAATATGAACTCTAACAGTAGAGATCTTTGTGTCCTTTCTATTCTCGACAGCCAGAGCTCCGGTAGTAGCGTTATCCGAATCAAAAACTGAAGGATCACAAGGCAAATTGATATCAAGTACTCTAGTTTTCCGTTTATCGTCCACTTCATTCTCAGATGGATTAGGAAGAGATGCCGATGGGGATGTAACAGAAAATGACTCATTCTTAGAAATGCATGGCCCTTCGAAAAAGGGAAACCCAAGAAGTTTTCTGTTACTCCGACATTCACCGTGTTCCGACGTTCTGGGCTCAATGTTACTACAACGTGAATTAGACTCAATGTTCGGACAACATTCAACTTTACTGCCATTTTCAGCTTCGTTTCTTTTGGAAAACTGGTTCTTTGGAGAGAGCCCAAAATTAAGCTCTGCAGTCATTGATAATCTGCTTGAATTGATCGTTTCATTCTTACTAGCAGGTACAGCCCTTGACCATGGTAATACATTATGATGGTCCTCATTGTTTGGTTCTGCCTCTCTGGTCCGGTAGTTGGGTTGTTGAACTGCCTCATTAGATAAACTGTTTGAGAGCATTACATTCAAGTTAATGTCTTTCGGAGAATTCGTGCCCACACAACCAGAGCCCTTGTAATAGTTTGCAGCATGGTCGTGCCTTACGGTAGAGGCGAGAACTCCTCCATTGGAGCCAGACGTAGACCCGAGATAGAGTCCATTCTGGTAAGGAGTATCACAACCAGACCCAGGGTTTGATCTAGAGTCACTACTCAAATGCCATCTATCTCCAAAACTTCTATTGTTCTGGGCTGATGAAGGAAAACTCTTGTGCACAGCAGCAGACAATTTGAAACACGGTTGTGTATGAACCGATGTCGACTTTTGGGAGCCGTTGCCATTTGGCTTTTCCCAAGATGAACCAGAGTGAGCCCAAGACTTACCCACGTCCAAAGAAGGAGCGATAGGATGTGTACGAGATGTCTGCGAAGCTAAAAGATAACCAGGATCCCCAGTATTAGACATTTCATAACTTCTTTTGGATAATTGCAAATCACTAACTGGCCTGTCCAACTCCTGTTGAACCTTGCTTCTATCATTGACATAGAAAACTGGAGGTTCATGAAACTTGTTTAGTGGAACTTGCATAGGATTAGAAGATACATGAAAATTTTCCATCTGACCACGAGTGACGGGTTTCTCGCTTTCCATACTACGTCCTGAAATAAAAGAGGCTAAGGGTATCAAAAAAAGTGACAACTTTTTTAAAGCAAACTACTGCTATGTTCACAAGAAAGACACTCAAAATCGAGATTTCTAGTTAACGTAGGTTACCAATCTGTTCATATACTCCAAGCAGTAAACATGACTGACTAAAGACAGTTCGGGGAACTGCGAAAGCCGAAAATCCTTGCATGAAAGTTTTAAGAATGCTAATGCAATATAAAGAAGAAATATTACCTGCTTCAAAGATGTTAGGGAATGCCGCTCTTCTATTTGTTGCATGTCCACCTTCATTACTGGAGCTCAGAAACTTTTCTTGCTTCCTAGATGATACAATGGGGCCTTGAGCCTCCCAATTGCTGGAGCCACGAGCACTAGGAAGATCAAAAAAATTGGACCCATTTGCCTCTTCAACCTGAATGGGCTCGTTTAAATCGGCCAAACCATATCTGTTCCATAAACACGAGTCAGATCTCAAAGCAGCACCTTTAACATCACTTTTTCCACTGGGATTTGCCGTCACACAACTCTGAATCTCAAATTTCTTGTTACCGTTTGAATGGAAACCCAACATGGGGGACACTTTTTCATCATGAAATACCTCCCCCTCTTCGCTATCAATGTACTCGTCTGCTGGAAGTTGAAGATCAAATGTTTTCCTCCTAACCTTTGAGGGTTTAGATTCTAGTACCTCACAGTCTTTTGAACTCGTTCCATTTTGGGATAGTAAGAGACCATCGTTTCTATTATTCTTTTTCAAAGAACTTAAAGATGATTTTACATCTTCAACACTAGGTGCATACGGTCCGCCACTAGAAGAAATGGCATGAGGAAAGCTTGGGAGATGCCATTTTCTTGCACCATCAGGAGTACTTTGAGATGCTAGAGGACTAGATGAGAATGATATGTCTACCGGCATCGGGTGTCTGTGTTCGGATCTTTTAATATCATTCATTAACTCTCTCTGTTTTACATATAACCGATGCAGCTCGCAAACCTGCTTAGTAACAAAAGATGAAAAGAAACTCAAAAAACAATAAGATCATAACAACGAAGGTTCAAAGAAACAGTTGGAATGAATGTTACTTGATTCTTGAATATGGCTTCGTGCTGAAGCATTGTCCTCTTCACAGCATCTCTATCACAACCTAGATATGCATCGGAGGTAGCACTTGACAAATTTCCATTATAATACGGGCTGCTCTGACATGATTTTTCACTGTAATATAAAGGCCAGCTACAACCATGAGAATCTTCATTTAGATCCCTCATTGAGTGATAACCTGGCAAATAACGTTCATACTGCACCTTTGTTCCCATTCCTGAGTCAATGAAGATTCGTTGAATCATTATATGTTCATAATGGATAATGATATGAGCACATCACTTTACATTGTATTGTGACAGAGAGAAGGAAAAAAAAAATATAACTCAAAGCTCAAGGTATAAGTCAAGCCAGACACAAGAAACGACATGAATCTTCAACTATGAAAGTGATGGTCATCAGCTTGAGTATCCGAATGGTCGGGAACAAATTAAGAAACGAGATAAAGTTTTAATCGAAGTATAATAGCAAAAAGAAGTGTTTTGGGGAAATTTTTCTAGGAAAGGGTGAAAAGTTGAAGTCCTGAGGGGTACCTTTAAAACAAGGATGAGGCTCTCATATTTTTGTTCCCCCTCACACTGTTGCTTCTTCTATTCGCCAATGTGCTGGCAATCCTTTAGTCCAGCTCATGCCTCTCCTCCCTGCGACTCACGGAGGATATTCTTTGTAAACAAACTCTCACCCATCCTCCTGTTTTCAACGTCAAGACTACCGTCTAGGCTCAACTTTGAAGACATAGCACACGCGACCCGCAAGAATAATGTGTACTAGTTTCAGATCTGAACAGTCCATGTCAACCAAGTGCCACAGGTTTCTTAGGTAGCTTAACTAACGCCAGAATGCACACTCGTGGTTTGGTATCATGTCGTAAGACCCAAAACATGCTTCGGATATAGAGATTAGATGACCCTCGAGGTGAGAATAATTTGCTGAAGGGAAGGTTATGCTCAATAAAGGGGAACAACTTGTAGATATTTCAGATCGAAAATTTTGAGTGTAACACGTATAAAAGGCTTTCAGGTTTCGTGTTAGACCAATTGATTCTTATAAAAGGTGTCTATTGCAAACTCTAAGAATGAAGAGAAAAAAATCATTTTACAATAATTATTTTTATTTCTACTTTTCCCAAAGATATAAGCGTCTAGCGGACTGTCTATAACAGCCCACACCCACCGTTAGCAGATATTATCCTCTTAAGGCTTTCCCTTTCGGGCTTCCCCCTCAAGATTTTTAAACCGCAGTCTACTAGAGAGAGGTTTCCACATCCTTATAAAAGATGTTTCATTCTCCTCCCCAACCAACATGGGATCTCACATTGTCACTGTGGTGAAGAAACAGAAATATCCTCAAAGGGCAAAAACCCAAAGAACAAAAATTTCAACTACAATGACCTTACTTAAGAAGTCAAGTTTGATGACTGCCACTGCAGAACTAACAACGCAGAGTCTCAAGTGCAGAATCAAACAGAACTGCTATTACTACTATATCCAAGCAATTTGCTTTGACCCCAGAGGTTAAATGAACGGTTCCAATGTCCCAGAACATTGGAATTTCCACTCTCACAAACCATATGGAATAGAGCTACCGGTATATGATATAATGTGCAATCTAAGTCCTGAAGACATTCCATTCATCAGTATTATAACCAGTAGGCATGCACAGTTGCCACTTTGAAGCATCACTATAATGGGAGCAGATAAGGAGTCTCCTATGCAATTGACTTGGGACCTCGATAAATTCAGAGGCAAGTAAGAGGCAGTGGTATAGTATGCTAAATCCGAGTTATCTCGATATATGCACAAATCGAACCAACGATATCGAGCATATAAACCACTTAACAGAAGGCTGCTCATAAGACAAGGACTTAAATGGCAACCATCTTTAACTCCAAGAAGCCACGGACAGATAAAAGGAATTACTCATGAAAACTTACGAAGTAATTCAACTGAGGCAGTTCAGATCAGTTGCTAAGAAAATGTACACAAGCAGCTAAAGCACTAATCATCTCAATCTCCATACAAGCTTACTCCAGAACAATTAAGCTACGCAACATCAAAATTAGTCCTCTATCTTGAATATTGAGCAGGAATGAATGGATCGTTTGAAGTCCTTGAAAATTAATACGCAAATCAGAGAACAAAAACGAAACCACTCAAAAAATTGAAGCCAGGGTGCAATCAAATCTTCCTAAACGAAACACCAAAGATAAAACTATGATCAAACATCAATATCGTCTCGAAATCTCAACAACACACAAATTCCCAAATGTACAAAACACAATCGAATCCAGGAATGTTAAATTGGGAAACAGATTAAGTAAAAAGGGTGATTAGAAAAAGAAAATGCAGAGCCAAATGGTTTAAAGGGTGAGAGTGATAGCAGGAAACAGTCATAGAAAGTGGGAGAGTAGCATACGAAATTAAGATAAATTAACAAAACTTATGAAAAAGGAATCATCGGAATCCAAAAGGAACCCAGAAGGAACCCAGAAGAAATCAAATAGAAATAGATTGGAAAAATTACCTTAAACCCACATCGTCCGATTCGAAAACTCAAGAACCCCTGATGGATTCAGCCATTTAGGAACACCTTGAGAAGGGGAAATTCTTGGAGACCCAATAAGAAGAAAAATAGAATTATAAATATATATATATATAGATGATGAAAGAAACAGCAGTGAGAGAGGGAGAGAGGGAGCGAGAGAGCTTAGATCGTCATCGAGGTGGAGAAAATAAAGGAGATTTTCGATCTGCTGGGCCACTCTCTCTCTCGCTCTCTCTCTCTCTCTCTCTGAATGCAATGAAGGGAGAGAATTTTGAGGGAGGGAGAGAGAAATAAGTTGTTAATTTTAATTTTATGGGGGAAAAAAGAAAAGAAAAGAAAAGAGAGAGAGATCCCAGATAAGAAATCTTCACACAGACGAACGACCTTCTAAGAACAGTGACATGAAATTTGTCAACATCCGGTCTCTATTTATTCTCTGCTTTTTTTCGTTCATAATTTTACTTTTCTGGTTTCTATAAAAATAATAATAATAATAATAATTATAAACAAAAAGAAATGGGCATTTCTAGATTCTCTCCACCTTCCTTGCTTTTGGTGCACTTATTAATTTATTATAATATCATACAATTTCAAACCATTCTTTATTCGCTAAAATACATTTAACAAATCTAACTATGTTTTTCCTTTTTATTATTATTATTTATTTATTTTTTTAATTTTCTCAAGAACAAACAACAAATCATCGCCTGAATTCTCTACCAACAAAGTATTCAATGATTAAGATTGGATTCATAGTCATTCTTGATCTTTTCATACAACAATGTAATTTATGCGAGATTTAGTATTAATTAGCATGAAACGAACCGGGAAAGTGTATAAATTATTATTCTATTCGATTTAGAAACTAATAATGGATGAGATGGAATTTGATTTTGGATCGTGCACAATGGACTAGGTCAGCTCAGGTGAGAATCTAAGCTAGCCCATCAATCATCGAGCATAGCTCGTCTAATGAGTTTAAGCATCCTATCATGAGGCTCAAGGTTATAATTTGGGACACCATGAAGGATACATGAATAATCTGGACGGTTTGATGAAAGTCTCACATCGGTTAATTTAGGGAATAATCATGAATTTATGATCAAATAATACTATCTTCATTGGTATATGAGGCATTTTATTGGGTAACTTCCTGAAATTTTTTTAACAAGCATTAGTCTTGTGGGGATAGTATTCGCTCTTAAAAAACAAGAAATAACGCAATTACATTGCATGAGATGCAGGGAAATATCATGCACACCGGTGTCAAATCCTAGACATGGAGCGTTACATCGTTTGTGTGCTACCACTTTATAGAACGACTAACGAGCTTTGATTTATCTCTATATAAAAAGCATACAACACGTGGACAAGTAAGTTTTGTCAATAGGTCGAAATTTTTTTAAATTATATTAAGAAGAGTTCACACTGTATACAGTTGTGTTATTTATTAGACAATACAGACCCATCGACTCTCTATCACTAGTTTTAAGTTCGCCACGTCACCTATAATTATATTGACGTGAAGACGATGTGTCAATTCGCTGTTGGTCCAAAATCACACAAACAGACAATATTGTAAGAAGGGGAAAAAAAGTAATATTAGAAAATGAAAGTGAAATTGTTCTCCAAATTTTATTTGATAATGTCTATATTCTAAGCAATGTTTTTATTGGCTAATATAACAGACATGGGTGGGGTCCAGTTGATACTAGGATGAGGATTATTGAGGTTTGAGTTTTGCTATTAAATGCCCTCGTGCCTATTTCGGAATTACCAAAATGCCACTATTGATTTTTCTCTATAAAGAAATTATGACTTATCCTCTGATTTGTTTTGAGCAGCTGGAAGTTTTTAAACAAAAATTGCGTTTAATTAATAAATTTTCTAATCCAAGATAAAATAACACGTCGTTCAGGTACGACTTTAACAGTAACACGTGGTACATTTCCATTGGCGCCCTGAATGTTTGATCCCCTGTTTCCGGTTTGCAGTTTATATATATATATTTTTTTTACTTCAAATTAAAAATCTTTCGTATTAAAACAAAAAGTAAATCAATGAGAAAAAGACATATTTTGGGGATTAATAAATAATAAAATATTTATTTTTTCCTCTCTACGCCAATTATTGGTTGCCATGTAATCATTTTAATTATTGTAGTTTTTCCTAACTAATAAAAATATCAACAAAATATTCCTTAAATTTTAAAAAATTTTAATAATATATTTAACTTTTTAAAAAAATTAAAATAATATATTATTGCACTCCATAGAAATTTTTAATATTTTATTTTGAAAGTAACATTTAATTCTAAAAAAAATATTTAAAAATATGCTTGAGTTTGAGTTTTCAAATATTTGATTTGTACTTTTTTTTCTTTTAATTTAAAAAATAAATTAAGAACATATTTATTATTAGTATCATGTTTTAAAAACATTAATAAACTTTTAAAATAAAATGTTTTTAAATATTAATAGTCTAAATATTGATATTAATAAAATTTTAAAACTTTTTTTATAAAAGTAAACTTTAAATGGGAACTTTTTAAATAATAAATGTTTTTTTAAAATTTATAAAAAAAAATTAAAAGAGAATTTTTGAAACAAAGTATTTTTATTTATTTTTCTTTTTTTTTTTTTATATATATAGAGGTATTTGAATTAATTTAACTTTAAAAAAATTTAAAAATTTTATTAAAAAAACTAATTTATAATTAAAATTAATTTTCCCTGGTCGTAACTAGCCCATAAAAACATATAACCTATTGAGCTATATTCAATAATTATATTTAAAAAAGGAGGAAAAAAGTTAATTGAATTATATTTAGTAGTGCATCTCAGTGTGGGCCCAAATTTGTTCATATGAAATGTGAAGTCCAAATCTACGGCCCCAAATCTCCTATCTCTCTCTCTCTCTCATTCTACAGTAATGAGGTGGCACGTGGAGCATCACACGTTAATCTGGGGATGTCCGAAAAAGTGGAAATATCAATTCATAATGCCGCCTCAAAATAATAACAATAATAAATAAAATAAAATAAGAATAGAAAAGTTTGGTATAATATAATTCATGCTCATCCGCATTCATATTCCCGTTATTATTCTGTAAACCACAAATGCGATGATAAACACTCTTAGAAAACTGTTGTACTAAATGTCTAATATACCCTTCACAATATTTAATTCCAATACTTCAAAACAACTTCATTTATTTTATCACATTCATCAAAATTAATATTTATGCTCGATTACCTTTTCGATACTTAGGTCCTTGCTCTTGGTCTGGTATCGACTCCTTTGAATTTAACAGGTTATATGCATGTTTAATTTTGAACATTCAGGGATACGTTAGAGCTCTTTCGTTCAATCAAATAGTCGATCCATCTTATAAATGAAATACATGCATTTTGAGAAAAATTGAGTTCTCTCTTTTAATCATAATATTTGGATTTTATTTATTTATTCTTTCCGGGGAAGCAATATTTCAATTTATAAATCTCAAATATATCAATAAAAGGGTAAAATGGTAATTTCAAAATTACTAAAAACTAAATGTAAATATAAACATTTTGAAATTATAAATTAAATAGAAATTAAACTCCTAATATTTCAGTAGTTAGTTTTTAGCATTATATAAAAAAATTAAAGATAAATCAAACCAGGCAGCTGGACTAACTTTATGAATATATATATATACACACACACATATATATATATATATATATATATATATATATATATATATATATAT